CTTAGATTGACTGGTGAATTCATCTGTAAACATTTTAAGAAGATTTTACGTCGAAGATATTCAAAGAAGCTTTCAGATTCTCTATAAACTTGAATATAATTTATTGTCTGTAACAGTTCATTTCGTTTAGTTTACTGTAATCGTGAAGTGAGGAAATGTCTACTTAGTATATATTGCCAGTGGGGTTGGGCAAAATACTTAACTTACTGATCGCAGACGAGTATTAATGTTGTTGATAATGTTATCTTTCAAAATACAAACCTAATATTTTAAAAACCTTTGTCAATCCAACCTATTATAATGTCTTTTCAGATTATATATAACGTTCTTACGGCAAGGAATAGCCATATTTATAATCAGAATACTTGAAATAGACACTGAAAATGTACTATGACATAAAATTTGATGTTGTCAAAAGTTTGATTATGTTGGTTAATACATTTTCCTAATTCATATACTTTTCTTATGTTAGATATATATTTTAAACTAAAACAGACCTTTAAAAACAAGAATGACCATGAATAAGAAAAGCTGGATTTTAAATTCACATCTTGAATTATCAGCGCATACATTTTAATTTAATATTTGGATTAATGAGTCAATTGAATCTACACCACCATTGAAAGCCTGCATGCACTGGATGGCCGCTTCTTCCTAATGTGGGACTCATCAGCAGTGCTTGTCCACAATCCCGCCTCCCATGAGATTCGAAGCCAGGATCTATCAGTCTCGTGCGTAAGCGCTTAACCTCTAGACCACTGAGCCGGTCGGCATCCAACGGTGTTAATTTCTAACTTCAACCAATCCAAGCAATTGAGCCACCGAGGTTGGAAGGTCCTGTGCTCGAATCTCACGAGGCAAGATCGTAGTTGTGCACTGGTGATAAGTTCCGTATTAGGACGAGACGGCCACCTAGTGGTTTCAAGTTTTCAATGGTAGTCTACATTCAATCGACTCATGAATTCAACTATTAAACTACTATAATATCTACATAACCCCTCTCTGAGTATACATTTTATTTTCATTCCATTAACGATGTTATTTCAGAATAAGGTAAACATAATTATATAGTGGTAACAAATTGTAAATAATTTTTAATAAAATTGATTTTACAAAAATGTTTATTATTACGTAATAAATTTAAAAATTATTAGTTAATTTTGATGGAGTTTTGTTCTTTGAGCTGGTTAGTTTGGTCTTGTTCAGAAAAGAAAACTCTCTCAAAATTATCTACTTGAGCTACAAATCTTCTACACCATCTCAATACTGGTTTATGTTTACAATTAGAAACTTTAAAAATTAAACTATAAATTGAATTGAATAAACAAATTAGCTTGATGTTGTTGTGTTTTTTTTTTTGATTAGGAAAATATTTTCCTATTTACAATTTCTTTGGAAAAATAAGTAATAAAAGTTGAAACATATGATGAAATCCCTTTACATTTTTGTTCTCATTAAAAACCGAAATAATTTTATACGGTGAATCTGTGGTGAGTGCTACTTATATTGACATAAGTAGTATATGATGTTAGTCGTAAACAGAAGGTCTGGAAGCAGAGAGACAAGAGGATAGAACAGTAAAGAATGAAAACAGGATGCAATTTGTATGAAAATGTAAGAACAATGAAGTCTGAGTCATTATGAGACAATTGGTGGACATTTTGCAAATGAAGCATTTACTTTATGATCGTTAGATTTTATTAACAAGTTCTGTAATTTTGTGTTAAATATATTTGACTCTCCCCACCCGTGTTCTGTTCACGAGTAGATCTAGCTCGCTCACTTTGAATATAATACTTTTTGATAATGCTAAGAATGTAAACTAAGAGGTACCCTTTTTTATTATTATCACTTAGCAAATAGTGAACTTGGTGTTGAATAGGAAAGATTGAGTCTTCAAATTTAATATATATTTTTAAAATGTGCTGTTTCAACTAGGAATATAATGAAATCAGTATGTGCTAAAGAACTTTGGAGTACGTTTTAGGTCTTGTTCACTTTTTAGACGTTTTTCACCAACTTATTGAATTTTGATATCTCAAAGGTTTTCAAGATGTATCATATATATAAAAAAAGTATATAATTAAAAAATCCTTCAGTAAATGAGACTGAAGGCCCTAGGTTAGAATCCCGCGAGCGTGCTCATGGATGCGCACTGCTGAGGACGAAAGGGCCGCCCAGTCCTTTCAGGTTTCCAACGGTGATCTAATATCAATCGGTTCATGATCTCAATCGAAAACGTAATAATCTCCACAACCCCTATACTGGTAAATGCTTCAGTTATAAACAGAATATAAACTAGTAATAATTCCATTCGTTTCTCTTAATTCATACTTAAACGCTTTAACTTTCATGCTTTTCATTAAAAATGTCCGCTTTAAAATCGATTGTTCAATCGTTAACAAATATGTTATCCTTCAGCTTATTTCACTTCTTTATATTTCTTCTCCGATTAATCATAATCTCTCTGTGAAAGAAAACAGTTTGTGATATGAACTAATCGAATCTTACATTCTAATTGATGTGATTTTAGTAACAGCTTGAAGTTTTCAAGGAACTCTTTTAGGACGAAACGACCGTCCAGCTTTGATTAACTCATGACCTCAACTGTTAAAATGTTAATTTAGAATAGAATAATTAACTATGTTCTCTATGTATATAAATTTCTGAAGAAAAGTTGTAGCATCAATAATATCATAAGCATTAAAGAACTGGAGAATTTCACACCGTAATCCCTATTGATTTTGAATAAACTGCGATTAAGATCAAGTATGTAATAATCACATTATTTTTATTTATATTTATTTAAACACATAAACATTGGTACAACGAGGCACCAAATAGATATGCACCACTTAAATCATTCGACTTATGTGAAGGCTGAGATACTGGCAGGTTGCTCAAACCAGAGCAGGTGGTTTTCTTACGGGGCACACCTGGAGCCTTCGAACAAAATGTCTAATCCACAAGGCAGCAGAGCAACATCAGGAGGTGTAGTCCCATAGTAGCCGGCCACCAACGATCGGTTCATACTTTATTTATTCCTTCAGGCTACTGGAGCCCGTATGCACCATTGGTTTTGAATCAGGGTTTTCCAACTCTCCTAGATAGGACCTCGATTTCCACCAATCCGGTTAAAGCGACGGACATTTGCTTTCCGTCCTCTCAATTTCATTATCAACAGTAATGTCACAGTGAGTAAGACTTCTCTGGCAGTGGTTGTATGCATGTGGCCATGTGAGAGCACTTCCAGAGGGAGGGCTGACTTCCCTCACTCTCGGCTGTACCAATAATGATCATATTAATTAGTAATAACTATTATTTTGCTTGATTTTTTAATTATTTTCATAGAAAAGACACTGCTTATTTATTTCATTGTCTTTTAATACCTGATATCAATTTCTTCATTTATGAACTCTATTCCAGTATTTAAATTTTAAAAAAGATTATACTATTTGTTACTATAGTGATAAAAAACTAATCACTAGCTAAATAAGATGTGTACACATAAACTTATCCGAATAATAATTGTGGTTAAATGGTTTATATACAAATAGTTTCATAGGGGGAGATTAATTTACATATAATATTTTCATTATATATTCTCTGATAGATTTTTTTATTGCCTAGTTGTACTGTAGTGAACACGAACACGAGGAGGGACAGTCTAATGTATTTAACACAAAATTACAGAACCTGTTAATAAAATCTAACTATCATAAAGTAAATGCTTCATTTGCAAAATGTCCACCAATTGTCTCATAATGACTCAGACTTCATTGTTCTTGCATTTCCATAGAAATTGCATCTTGGTTTCATTCTTTTCTGTTTGATCCTCTTGTCTCTCTGCTGCCAGACCTTCTGTTCACGACTAACATCATATACTACTTATGTTAATATAAGTTGCACACACTACAGTACCTTTGTTAAGTTTGTTCATTTACTTTCAATACTGATTAAAATATTTAGAATGAATTTCTTAAATCTATAGCAGTTTTTAAAAATGTCAACTCCTTGTGATGTACACATTCATAAAATACGTCAACGAAGTTTGGTTTTTTTAAAAGTCTGGTTTCTTTTCTAAGTTTCAATCTTTATGAACAAACTTTCAAATGTTGATTTAACACTAACTAAAAAGATAATGTTATGTTTTTAATCAATAAGAGAGATGATAACTGAGATTGGATTACCATTTATGAAAGAACTAATTCAAAAATATGTCATGATAGTAAAACAAATTCAGTATTTGAAATACTTAATAAAAGATTGTTTTAAACATCTTTATTGATCAGCTTTGATCATTTACATCTTATACAATAAAAGAAAAACCTACTATAATGAAGTTAAAAACAAAAGCCAATTCAATCTTGGAGAAAAATAACTTAGATTATTATCAAATTTGGTCTGAAAACAGACATAACGGATGGGTTTTTTTTAGATTTCAGTTAATATGTGTTTCCCAGAATAAAGACAAACTCTTTAAGTTTCATACATAGTATAGTCTGTAACTAAAATGTTGAAAGTAAACATTGTTAATCATGTAAACAGACAATATAGAACTATTAGTATTTATATATTGGAACGTTCATCTAAATAATCCATCAGACAGAATAGCCATCAAACGTTTGGCAAAATAATGTCTATTAAATAACAATATACTAAACGCTAAACGTTGTCGGAAGTGAATGGATATGTAAATTTGTTTAAAGCCAAAAATATGTAAGTATATATCTCATCAATGAATATGAAAACAATTGATGAAGTTAGTAGTTACTTTAAGATAGTCCTAAGCTTTAAGAGTAGAGTATTCATAGTTACTATTTTGTATTTCAGATACTCCTGTTGTCTACATTTATTACAACCTTGTTCTAATGTTATTCATATCGATAAATAACTTAAATATCCTCTGATTGTATTGTTCACTTTTTTTAAAGCAAAATAGATTATTATTGAAGTTTGTTATCGTTTATGTCTCTTTATTGATTTCTAACATGTAATAGGTATGTTACTTGGAGGATTGTTTCTGAGAAATATTGGTGGACTTTTGATTCCGGAACAGATTTACCACACAGGTCAATTACCAAGTGGAAGTCTTCCTTATGGATACAATTCTAATTTATTGAATTCCACTTCTTACAATGAGAAGGAATATCCTTTTAATATAACTGATCCACGTACTCAGTTTGCTGCTCTTTTACTGGTAAATCCAGTTTTATCTGGAATTTTAAGACAACTTGCTTTGACTACAATTCTAACTCGGGCTGGTTTGGGTCTTGATCCTCAAGCATTGAAACAAGTATGTGGTAGTGTATTTCGTCTTGCATTCATACCATGCCTTACAGAAGCGACATCTTTGATGCTATTTAGCCGTTTTTTGATTGGATGGCCTTGGTCATGGGGAGCTATATTAGGGTAAGTGTTAATTTTTTGTATTAAAGTAAGGTGGATAATTAAATAGTTTGATAGATTTCTTGTGAGCATTTGTCAAGTAGTCAATAAATTTGTTGCATGAAAGTTTGTGTTAACCATTATACTGCCTATAAAAGTTAACATAAAAAATCAATTAAATTTTCTGTGAAATAAATTCCCGTAACATAAATATTGTAAATTATTTATTGGTTCAGTAATTCTTTGCCAAAGCTTGTCAGATTTAAAGTCTTTGGAATGGCTGAAGTAGTAGCCATTTGGGTTAAGAAACTGGAGCGTTGTGTACAAAAGAAATATCTTCGACCACTTCTCCTCGCCTGGCCAACCTCAAGGCCAATTAATCAATAATAATCTTAGCTATTGAATGACCTAATTACACTATTGTATTTACGACATTTCGTAGTCAAATGTAATTGTCTGTTATCATTATCCACAAATCTTTGTATTATTATTATTATCCATTATTGTTATTATTATTACTATTAGTTGAACATCATTATTAATCTCCCCAATACATGATTCATTTACTTAGCATTCATTCCATCTTACTATGTCTTTCTAATAATTTTGTGCACTAAGTAGTCTTTCACTAAATATTTGATAGAATTGTAATTGCACTATTATTTCTCTCACCCTATCTGACCCATATTTATTCTGATCACTTAGTCTGGATCACTTAACATTTTCGTTTAACATATAAGCTGATTCAAATTAACATTCCATACGGGTCATACAAAAACCGCCGTGTGTTTAATGGTATTTAACATTAACAATTTTATTTTAAATTCACTTGGTGTTGTTTGCTTGTATATTCCTATTGTTGCTTAGGGCTGCAATTGATCAATCTCTTATTGGCATATGTGCATCCTGTATCGATTGTCTCGATATTGCCTTAAATCACAAGTATTATAGGTAAAGATGGATAGTGGCTAGCAGTGGAATCCAGGACACGTGTTTTGTCCTATTTGGGACTCGTCAGCAGGATGTACGTGCATCTCAGTATTGATGTCCACTCCGGTACTCAGTACCGTTCGCTTCAAACGCTATCGCCTCATCCACTTAGCCATTCTATTGTGTTTGGCAATCCTAAATTCACATTCTTTAACTTAAACGATGTATTTACCCTTATCCTGACCATTTTTTGGATTATTAATTTGGATATGTAATTGTAGAACCTGAAAAGAATTTATCGAAAAGAATATTCTTTGTTCAAATATCAGTCGTTTAATATGATGACGATCTTTAAACAAACAAATATCATTAATTATGCTATAAAAAGCGAATTAAGTTTTAACTTTTACGATGAGTAACTGAACATATATTGCGCTCAATATCTCCTTACTATTACCGAAAACGGATCAAATAGATATTCACAGTTGTCCAAGTTAAAGATGAGCAGAATATATGAAAGATGAACAATAAGGCAACATTTAGTTGGGAATCGTGTGATTATGAATTGTGAAATACAGGTACATCCAGCCAAGGAGTCCCAAATAGGATAATACACGCGTCCTGGAATCCACTGTTCTCTATCATCCATCATCCATCTCTTCTTATATATACAAATATGTATATAAATATTTATAATATGAGTACTGCTGGAGATTCCTCGGTTGAAGTGATCTCCAGTCTCTTTTACTTCCGTGTTTCTGGTATCATACCGATCATTGTAAAATGGAACCGATTTCTATGATTTATTCGAGTAATTGAACTTGGTTTACTTTTCCTTGTAATTATCCAACAGTTATCCCTTTATACTGTGAACAAGGGAAAGCTGTGAGAACAACGTCTATGTTTCAGAGATCATGTCTCCTGTAATATTGTACTTCATTGTTTTCTTAAAAGAATCCGGTTTTAGGTCAGACGGCTATCAGAAATTCACAAAATTAGAAAGCAGAAAGTATGGTTTTCATCACTTTGACATGAATACGCAAACTACATAGTTGGATTTTTCAACATTTGAAACTGGAGGGATTTACGTTTGATATCATTAAGTTACTTGTTATTAACGTAATAGTAGAATAAGATGATCACAGATTGTTACTTATTAGCCATAAATCAAATGTTCAAGAAATTTGAATTCTGAGAATTTTTTTGGATATCACAAATTAGTTGAAAAATGAAGAAATATCAGTGACATAAGCCTTTAAGAGACACAACCCGGTAATTCATCATATTCTTCAAACATAAAATTTACTTTAAAAGCAAACAATCATTTACACTGCTTGATCAAAGACTGATGAGAAGAGTAATGTTTGTTTAGTTCTGATCAATTACCACTAATTAATCATGTCTTTGACCACTGATCTAAGTGACTTAATATCTTGTGAACAATTTTTTTGAAATGTTAGGTGATTATCGGAGGGACAACTGAATGTAACCAAATACAGAATTACAGAATCTCTTGATAGAAATCTATGAAATTATACAATAATAATCCATCAATGAAAATACAAAAAACAAACAAGAAATATAAGTATCTGAGTAGTAGTGGTTATCGTTATAAAATAAGAATTATCAGTATGGGGGTTGTGGAGATCATGATCTCAACCAAAAACTCAACAATCTCCACAACCCCCATACTGATAATTAACATGTGCTCACTAGTGACTAGCTTCGTGAGGGAATTCTCGGAGTTCTAGTGAGAAGTCGTGACCAGTGGAGCTAATCCGTGTCGGGTAGAGACAGGTATCTACCTCAGTACAATGGAAGGTGGTCGAGCAATTTCGTGGATTGGTTGATGTTAGACACTAACACCATTGAATGCTGGCTCTGTGGTCTAATGGTTAAGTGCTCAGGCGCGAAGCCAGTAGGTCCTGGGTTCGAATCCCGCGGGGTACGGGATCGTGGATGCGCACTGCTGAGGAGTCCCACAATAGGACGAAACGGCCGTCCAGTGCTTCCAGGTTTCTAACGGTGGTCTAACATCAATTAATTCATGATCTCAACCAAAAAAATAAGAATCGTTGGTTTAAAGTACACATTAAGAAATTTAATTGTTTATTGAATATAACTTTAAAGAAGCACAATAAATTAGAATGATTTTAATTTATTAGCCATTTTAAATCATTTAGAACATCATTATGAAGTCTCCTATCTTCTAACTAATCATCAAACATACTGGTGAAGTGTTACTCTATCCTACTAAGTGAATGTGTTAAGAGCTGATGGAAAACACATAAAATATTTGTCTTTTCATTTACTAGAGTATAGAGTTTTGAATGTGTATGTGAAATTACTGATATAATTGTATGTAAAAGAAAAAAAACCTAAGACATGTTTAAATAAGAGTTAGTTTGATATCTTATAACCAATTAGGTAAATGAATAATCACCATCTTTATAAACAAAATATAAATGAACTATGACATATTAGCTGTATCACATTACTAATCAACAGATTTCTCTCTCATTATTATTTATGAATTTTAATGGTTATCTATTATTTGTTGATCTGTTTATAAGAAAGGGAATCTTTTCCTTCTTATGTTTAATATATTGAATTTTATGCGTTGGTTTTATATGAAAGACATTCCAAGTTCAAATAGAAAGTTAATGGATAATAGACAATATCAGTGTGGAAAGTCAACTCTTTCCATAAACTGTTCCAAGATATGATAAAGAGATGATTCAAACTGAAATTTATTCATCTTTAATATTAAAGCGATTAAGTGATTCTTCAAGTTTTATTTAGATAAAGGGTGAAAATTAAAATTTCAGTAAGTAAGGGGGTCTAAATTACTTCGAAAAGAATATCATTCAATTAATAGAAATATATCATAATAACCATAGAGTAAACATCTACAAAACCCCTTCTGATATGAATCAACATATCCTCACTGGTGATTGGCTTCAAGGGGTATATCCTGGAGTTCTAGTAAGAAGCAGTGACCAATGCAGTTCAACCTAGTCTGTTGTGAGATAGTAACTCACGGATGATAATGGTGGATGTGTCACTCAATTTCATCAATTAGTTGAAGTTAGACATTAACACCGTTGAATACCGACTGGCTCAGTGGTCTAGTAAATAAGCATTCGCACGCGAGACCGATAGGTCTTGGGTTCGAACCTCGAGGGGGGCAGTGTCGTAGGTGTGCACTGCTGAGGAGTCCAATAATAGGACGAAATGGCCGTGCACTTCTCCAAGGTTTTCCATTGTGGTCTAGCTTCAAATAACTCATAATCTCAACCATTAAAAAGAATTAGAATCTGTTTAATGTTAGTTCAGAACAATGTGGGTTATTAAATTATTTATAAATAGACTCTTTAGGTAATCTTAATGTCTACTGAAGCATGAGGTATATCATGTTCTAGTTATAGTCACAACTTTATGAATGACTGAAATCTTTGACAAAGGTTATTATAAATAGTGATATATATATGATACACCCACGTAATATTGTAATGTATCGGTTTATGCAAATTTACTTCCTTTGATTGAATATAATAAAAATTCTTTATAGTTTTAGAATGTCATATCTTTCAATAAATGTTTAACCACCTACAGGGAAAATTCATTATAAAATGTATCAATTTTGTCATTTATCTATTTCCTTTAGTGATAAAGATTTGTAAATGTGTTCTAAATCATTAAGTGTAAGTCATTATATGGAAGATGAATATGATTTAAGTAGTATATAACAAATAGTAGTATAGAGATGATTTCAACAACATGCCATTTCTATCTCTATATATACATACATCTATAACATTTAAATGAAAAGCCAGAATAAATCAAAGATTAGCTAAATCTACTTGTGATTTCATTCATCATCATTTATTTTAAACAGTAACGGAGTCAAAATACTAGACTACTGCATCTATTTAAGTTTCTTAGTATTTATTGATAATGCAGTTTAATAGTAGCTAAATGATCCAAAGCTGGTTTCGTCCAACTCGAAGATCGTCAGCTGGATGCAACTTCATCCCATAGTTGACATTCACTCTGAGACTGGAACTCAGTGCGTGTATTTCATCCCATTTGAATGTATATATGCCAATAACATACTAATCAACTGTAGTCTGTAACATCAATGGGAAGATTTAAATAACAAATCTAGAATGGAAATTTAATTGTAGTTTACGCATAGTTGACCAAGAATTTTTAGCTAATTAATGTAATCAGTAATTATGTAATATCATTAAATAATGAGTTTGTAAAATTAGTCAGCTATTTTGTTCACCTGTTTTAGTATTGTTCATAATTTACCCATGGGTCCCGGGCTCGAATCCCGCGAGGAGGTGCTCATTACCGAAGAGTTCCACAATGGAACGAAATGGCCATGCGGTGATTCGAGGTTTTCCATAGTGGTCTAGCTTCGCTTGATTCATGATCTCAACTATTGATATTCTAAAATATCTTTCATTACCAAACATTTTAACTTTTGATACTTATAAAGTCATTTGTTAATTTGTTCAAAACCACCTCCGTATTTATTTCTACAGTATTATTAGCAACTATTTCTCATTGAAATCACTTAAGAAAAGGAAAAAGAAGCCAGTTTTACTATCTATATCTGTTGATATGTATAATAGATAATCTATATATATATATATATATATATATATATATATATATATATATTAGTTCACTTTAACATGTACATATATCATTTGTAAACCCTCTATCCAATGTGTTCACCTAACACTGGCTATGTAAGTTTTCTGAGGATTCTTTTTTTGGGTTTTTAACAAATCAATATTTCTACATTAGTTTTTATTTAATTTCTTTAGAGATAGTTATTACAGCAGTTGAGATCATGAGTCAATTGAAGCTAGACCACCATGGAAAACCTCGAAACACTGCATGGCCGTTTCGCCCTATTGTGAGACTCCTGAGCAATGCACATCCACGATCCTGCCTCGCGGGATTCGAACTCAGGGCTTATCAGTCTCGCGCCAGGCGCTTATTCACTAGACCACTGAGCCAATCGGCATTCAATGGTGTTAATGTCTAACTTTAAACGACTTACAAAATTGAGCGCCACATACACCATTGTCTTCAGTGAGTTATTATCTCACAACTGATTTGGTTGAACTCCATTGGTCACTGCTTCTCACTAGAACTCCAGGATATGTCTATTGAAGCCAGTCACTAGTGAGCATATGTTGATTAATATCAATTGACTCATGACCTGAACTGTTGAAATTACTACAATCTCCATAAAACCCCTTCAGATAGTTATTATTTATTAATAAATCAATTTCATTAAAAAGTCAATTAAAATTAATTATCACTTCTTATAATCTAAAAATTCATAAGTAGTTTCGATTAACTAATTATGTTATTTAATAGTTGAATTCATAAGTTAATTAAAGCTAGACCATCACTGAAAACCTAGAAACATTGAATGACCGTTTCATCCTATTATGGGACTCCTTAGCATTGAGCATCCACGATCCAACCTCGTGAGATTCGAACTCAAAACCTATCAGTCTCTCTGAAGAGTTCCATACTAAAACAAAACGGCCATCCAGTGATTTGAAGCTTTTCATGGTAGTCTAGCTTCAATTGACTCATGAATTCAACTATTAAATTACTATAATATCCACAAAAACCTTTCTCTGATTATAATTACATTATAATAAAATTATGACATTGTTATAACTTGTGGCCTGTGTGTCCTGTTAACAATAACGTAATGATACCGCCAATTAGAGAGCAGTGAATAATCGATCGGACCAATGCCACGTAAAACCCGTACAAACAGTTTAGAGTCCTGGATGGTCCTGCTTTCCGCCTACAACAGCCAGTTAAGTCCAGAACACCAATCTCAGCCTCTGCAACATAAATCATTTATTTCAAGCATACTGGTTTTATATACCAACCAGAAAGACCACATCGTACCATAAAATATGAAACAACATTTGTACAAGATTTAGCCAAATGTGGCTGTGAACATAGGAGGTAGCAATCAATAGACAGCAAATAATTCAAGAATGGTAAATCGTAAAATAATAGTTCATAGGTCAAAATAAATCTCAAAATAAGAAGGACATGAATATGAATAGGTTAGTTATATAACAATTATAAGATAAAAATATACGCATAGTATTGGTTTATAAATGGATCCCAAAAGTTGCCAATCCTTATTCTTATCAGGACATAACAGAAATATTATTGATTAGGTAATGAAATTTTCTTTAATTTTCCCAATGATTTCATTTTAAAAAATACTACAAGATTATATATTATCATAAGATAATTAATGTGATGATTAGTTGTTGTTGCGTTAGTATCTATGCGCATATTGAGTAAAACTCCATGGAATGAAGTTTATAATGATGGGTAAAACAGATAATTAACAAATGAGTGAAATATTGATATATGTGAGATATATGATATCAATAAAAAGACTACGTGATAAGTGATTTTGGTGCAATCTTTAAAGTTGATTAATGAAGACTATTCAATATGCTACTAGGAGTTGATTGACGGTGATCAGATAATAATAATAGTGATAATTGTAATAATAATGGAATAAATGAAATGGGTAAATGTTAACGGAATATATTCGGATGTAAGACAAATTAAGATTAAGAAAATATATGATGTTAAGATAGAAGTGATAATAATTATATATTATTTTTTTTGATTGAGATCATGAACCGATTGATGTTAGACCATCTGAAGCACTGGACGGCCGTTTCGTCCTATTATGGGACTCCTCAGCTGTGCGCATCCACGATCAGGATCGTGAGATTCCTATCCAGGGCCTTCAGTCTCGCGCGCGAACGCTCAACCTACTGGAACACTGAGCCGGCATCCAATGGTGTGAATGTCTAATCTCAATCAAAAACTTAATCTCCACAAACACTAAACTGATAATTATCTGTTAAATAAATGAAGAAATAGAATATAATAGAAAATATGGAAATATGGGGAAAACTGGCATATAAAAAGTAAATAAATTTGATAAATAAATCATACAAAAAAATACAAAACTGAATTGAAACTTCACCTCTTTGCACAAGCAAGTGGCTATCAAGATTCAGTAGCTGGGTGGATATCATGATGGTGTTTAGAGCGAATGTTACTGCGTTCGAAGCCCTCACTGGACATTAACTCTAGGATGCAGGTACATCCAACTGACGAATCTCAAATAAGACGAAACTCGCGTCCTAGATTCAACTGTAAGCCACTATTCATCTTTGATTAGATCTGACAAATTGGTTTTGTACACATGAATGTGGTTCCATAATGCCTATTAGCAATTGTTCTGTGATACAGAAGAGATGTGTCCAAACATTTTTCTAAAAATTCGGTTCAAACCTATTAATGATACAAAATCTATAGTTCAGTACTGCATGATCATAGTCGACTGTTTATTCCAGAGCATATTTTATAATTATACGTAGTCCTTTACTTGGCTAGATGACGTATTATGAGACAGTTTTGATAAACAACCTCTATGGAACAAATAAACGTGTCTGTAGTTGGTCAGACTAAGTAAATTGAATTTACCGAGATGTCCATCAGTGGGCTGCTAGAGTAGAACACCTGCAATAAAATTGTACAAACGTTTTCCACTCATGGCTAGGTCATTTGACATCATAGGATTTTATCCTCGGCATTACGTTCAAATCCCATAACATTATATATGTTCTCCTATCTTTTCATGATTTTTAAATGACTCCTGTTTCATATTTATTTCAGTCAATAAAAAAACTAGCTTCTAATGACTGAAGTTCCCCTTCTATTCTGCTTTCTGTGTTTATATTTATGATACATGAGGTGGGGGAATAAATGATATTTTTCTCTGTTTATAAGGCTAAAGCAATGAAAATTCATTATCTGTCCATTCTACGTAGATTTATCATGAATGAACGTGTTTATAGTCTAAACGTTTCTCCTTTCAAGTAGTATGTCTAGAAACGAGATCTTGAAATTTACTTTTTTTTTCTAGAGGGGATTCAATGGATAAATGACAATCATTTAAACGTTTCTATCATATTAATTATCTCCAATAAAAACGATTAAACAGTTTTAGAAAGTGAATTCGATGCAGGAAAAATTTTCATTGCTGACAAATGTGTTTGGTTTACTTAATAGCGAATAGATAATTATTCAGTTAAATACAATCTTACTATATTTATGGAGCATCTCAATACTGTTAGTAGGAAGATTAGAAGTTAGGGTTAGTGATTAGAGTTTCCATAAATTAACACCAGCTATAATGCCAAAATAGCTGTTTTACCGCATAGATGAATTAGTTTTGTTCTAAAATCCAAGACCTGCTATCTTAAATCTCATTGTTTCTCCCTTTGTGTGAGTTCATCAGATATTCTCCTAACTATTTTATGCAGCATATTTTTTACAAGACAAATTAGACTATTTGTTTAAAATTAATAATAATTTACTTGTCATTTTTTTAAACTATAGATTCGTTTGTGCAGCTGTATCACCAGCTGTGATAGTGCCAAATATGATGCGCCTGGAAGTTACAGGGTGGGGTGTAGCTGAAGGTATACCTACCCTTGTTGTTGCTGCTTCCAGTTTAGATGATGTTGTTGCGATTACTGGATTTGGTGTTGCCCTCGGTGTAGCTTTATCCACAGAAAAAAGTTTAGTGAATACATTATTTTGGGGACCACTTGAAGCAATCATAGGTGCTTCATTTGGGGCAGCAGTGGGAATATTATTACTTTTCTTTCCACCACCAAAACTCGTAAGTCTTCGTCAATAATTTAAATTGCAAACTTTACCGTTGATCTTTTAACAGTATTGATTCTTTTTGTCGAAATGAATAACTGAAACCACTGCAAACATATGATCGAAAACAAAGATGAGAGTTTAGATTATGGCTTTATTATTTAGGCCATTGGTACCTTAGTTGTGAGACATGATGTTATTGTATTCAATAACCACAGCAAAAACCGCATTCCCAGGTAGAAATCATATGTATTTGAAAAAATACACGTAAGAAGCAGTAGACGAACTAAAGCTTTAGTAGTGAAGTATAAAATCATAAAACAGAAAACAGTAGCCAGTTAACCATTCACTTGACACTTCTGAAATAATGAGAATACAATCGTAACTATCTCCTTTGAATATGTAAAATATTTGATAAAGAGTAATCAAAGACTTACCATGATTAAGATCAAATAAGAATATCCTCAACGGTGTAATAATCTTCCATATTTACAAGGCCTAAGCTTGTGGATAAATACCTATTAGAGTGTCAGTTATGAAAAACATTTATTAGTAGTTTCGAATAGATCTGGCCTTATAATTACTTTTCCAACTAACCTAGGTTGAACCGATGGTCTGCCACGAATGCATATCAGTAATAGAAAGATTCATGTTGACTTAACATATGTTTTTTAATATTTCAGGAGCATTCCCATTTCATTCGAGGCATACTTCTGGTGTGCTTTGCAATAACTGGGTTAATCGGTTCGGTCGCAATACATTTACCAGGTGGAGGTGCATTGTCATGTTTAACTTTAGCTTTTATCGTGGCAACTGGTTGGCGGAGAGGATTTCCATGGCGTTTAACGCAGTCAGCAAGTATACCAACGGAATCCTCATCAAATAATGCACAAAACCAACATTATGAAAATTCAAATTATCAAGCGAAACCAAAAACAGATAAACCTAATCTGTCTTCGTCAAGAGATTCTGTCCTTACTAATGAAGACTCTCAAGAAAACCTTAAGATAGCCCCCTCGAAGCTTGAATCCATTGATGAAAAATATAGGCATTCTGATGATGATATTGACTCAGAAAGTATGACGAAGCATCAGAAAGATCTAAACAATCCAAACATACTTGAATCGTTGGTAGAATTTCATCCTTATTATTGCTCAATTTTGCGTCAGCAGTATGGCCAGCATTCATCGGGTGAACATAGTAACCGCAGCAGCCTCCGTAATCGCCTCCCATCTGATGGTGACAGGAAACGAGGAGATCTTCCTTCTTTAGCTGTTGCAGTAGCAGCTACTGGTAATGAGAAAAAAGTAGAAGGATCTTTAGCCAAACAACCTCAACAGAATAGTTACCAGCAACAGACTCAGCAAACATCGACAATCACTTTTCAAAAACCAAAAGCATCTCGAAGATTTAGTCTACCTGAACCTACTGCTCACTACGAACTGGAATCATTTTCCGTGTCTCAGCAGTTTCGCCGAGGAAGGAGTCCATCTAGTGCAAACGCTTTACGTCATATGAACAGGTCAAGGCGTAGAATTCGTAAGTTGATATGATATTGCATGATTTTCGTTACAATGTTTTTAATAATTAAGACTGATTTAATGTATATCGCATCAAATTTTTAATTAAATAGTATTTTATTTTTGAAGTTACTCAAATCTTATTTCTGCAGTGATTAATTATGTTACCCTACCATTTTTGTTTAGTTGCACCATTTCCGGATCAGTACTCACCATTTTACAACAACCAACCGGTTGAAAAAGTTGAAGAAGTTGAAGAAAATGATGAATGCTCATCTAACGAAACAGAAAGACCAGATGATGATCATGATGATAACAATTTTGATAGTTCTAATAATCAAGAACAACGTTTCAGTGATGTTGTTGTTCCAGCTACACCTGTTGAACGTGGATTGGCTTGTTTGAATTCAATGAGAAGAACCATGGCAGTCACATGGTGGTTTGTTCAACCTATTCTGTTTTCTTTAATAGGATCAGAAGTAGACATACTACATATGCCTGGTGGTTCAACTGGTAATTTTCTTACTTCTATTATTGTTATATATTTCGAATAAAAGTAATTCTATTAAAGTGTACATATTCATTAAAGTTAGATTCTTGATGATTTTAGTTGTACTGTTTAAGTATAATGTAAGGGTTTTGATCCTTAGAACCTACTCCATAATAATACTGAAGATAATTTATCACATTGTCTGTATTTCTCGATGTAGGTAATGTTGTGATATGCGGTGTCTAGAATCTGATACTGATACACGATGTGCTATGCGCTAACACCACAACTGGCTACTTGAGCAAGAAAGATCATTGAACTAGCGAATGAAATGCACAAATACTCATTTATATATATATATATATATATATATATATACCATTCTATCCTTAGGAAATTCACCGATTGATTCCAATAAAATTCACTTCACCATTATGTTAATTCTGATTGTCATCGATTGACCTTTACATTAGGCTACTTCTTATTGGCTCCCATATCAGGCAAATTTCGCAGTGTTCCATTCAGTAGACATTTAAAGTACAACAAATATGTAAACTAATTTGATGTTATTATAATTTACTTAAAAAGAATACAGTAAAAAGTAAACGAAATTTTGAGTCACAACAGTTAAACTTATAAAATCTAGGCATCAGTAAGTTCTCTTCTTTTCAACCTTACATTTATAACCGATTTCATATGTATTGTCGAGATAAGTAAGGAATATGAGAAAAGTTCATAAAGTTTACTACTATAGCTACTTTAAAAAATCAATATTTGTGGAGATTACTAAGTTTTTGATTGAAATCATGAACCAGTTGATGTAAGACCACCACTGAAAACCTGAAAGCAATTGACATCCGTTTCGTCCTATTATGGAACTCCTCAGCAGTGCGCATCCATGACCATGCTCTCGGGATTCAAACCCAGGGTCTTCAGACTCGCGTGTGAACGCTTAACCTCCATACCATTAAGCCGGCATCCAACTGTGTTAATGTTTGACCTCGACCAATCCACGAAATTGCGCAACCATCTTCCATTGTACTAAGGTAGATACCTGTCTCTATCCGATACGGATAAGCTCCTCTGGTAACAGCTTCTCACAAGAACTCTGAGAATCCCTTCACGAAGCTAGTCACTAGTGAGTACATTAGGAACATTCTATTGTTTTGAGTTATTATTCAATTTTAGTGATATGGAAGTTGATGAGAAAAAAATTCTATTTATATTAAACTAACAATCAGTTTATAAGAAACTGTAGATCATCTGTTTGCGATTTGTAATGTATAAGAAATTAACCATAAAAATAAATTATTCGAAATCTTTTATAATAAATCAAGGTAAACTGATATCCCATTCAAAGTAAAGATGGATAGTGGCTAGCAGTGGAATACAGGATGAGCGTTTCGTCCTATTTGGTACTCGTCAGCTGGATATACCTGCAATCCAGAGCTGATATCTACTCCGTAACTCGAAACCAGTATCGTTCACTTTAAACGCGATCGCATTCTCCACTAAGCTACTGAGTCTTAATAGCTACCTGCTTGTGTGCTGGGGTAAAGTATAAATTCACTTGGTGTTGTTTTACTTCTATCTTCTCATTGTTATTTAGGACTGCAATTGATCAGTCTCATGTTGGCATATGTGGTCTCGGAGTGAACATCAACTCTGGGATACAGGTACATTCATCTGACGAGTCCCTAATAGGACAAAACACGTATCCTGGATTCTGCTGCTAGCCACTATCCATCTTTGCTTATAATGCTTGTAAATTAAGGCAATATCGAGGCATACGCACAGTATGCACATATGCCAATAAGAGACTGATCAATTTCAGTCCAAAAACATCGATGGGAAGATTCAAACAAAACAATATCAAGTGAACTAGTCTTGTCATTAGTTATTATTTATCAGTAAAAAAGTGTTTTTAGACAAAATTATTGACATTGAATTGACCTGTTGGTGGGAGGTGTATTCATTTTTCTGTCAACGACTCACACATTTACACAAGATAACTCTATTTTTTAATTAAATCATTTCATCACTATGTATAGTTTGAAGACAAACTGTTAAACAGCTGAAAGTCATGATTATTTATTTAAAGTTAGAATTGCTTTGTCTTCATAAACGGTTTTAAAATTTATCTATTACGTAATATGTCGACTTAAAAATTCATGAATTTTTATTGTTTTATTCAATATTAGGACGTGGAATCGGTGCATTCTTACTTGCTCTAGTTGCTCGTTTAGCTGCAACAATGGTAGCTGTTTTGCCATCAAAGTTAAATATGCGTGAACGTTTGTTCATATCATTTGCGTGGTTACCAAAAGCTACCGTACAAGCAGCTGTTGGACCAGTTGCACTGGATACAGCTAGACAATTGAATTCAAATGCAGAAATAATTGATTGGGGGGAACAGGTGAGTGTTGATTTGCTTCAAAGACTTCTGTTGTTGTAAAACAATATTCTTATGTAAATGATACTAATCATGTTTTCAGTAGTGCTAAGTTGTAAATGTAATTCCAGGAGTTCAAATGAGAAGTATTGACTAATAGAGTTTAATTATGTAGGGTGTGCGAAAAATATTGATAGTTTTAATGGCGTTATAAATGTAAATCAGTAGATAACTTCTCAGTGGTTTAGAGGTTAGGTGCTGGCTGCTAGACCTGAAGGTCCTGAGTTTAATCCATTTTTAGGGTCGTGACTGTATAATTCTGAATAGTCCTATACTAGGTCGAAACAACAGTTCAACGTCTTTTGGCTTTCGATGGTCGTCCATGCTCAGTTTATGGTGTAAATTATGGTACTCGTGTGTAATTTGCTGCTTATTTGACTGTTTCTTTCATTGAATAAAGAAGAGCAGAATTGAATGCCTAGTTATTTCACTCCATGTTTCGATAATGCAATGAGAAGACGAAATTTATCAAAATTATGTGATATATTTGGGCAACATGTTTCGAACAATCTGATCACACATATACTTGTTAAGAACATTTATATATGAAAATTAAAAGGTCAACTAGACAGGTTAAAGGTAAGTCCTGACAAAGAAAAAAAATAATATTAGAGCACACAAAAACAAATGTGATCACCACTCTGGATAATAAATCAGTATTACCAGGGTAGGTTAATTGTAAGGACAACCTTTTTGAACACATAAAGGGGGTTTCAATTTTCGTATATCCAAGGCTTCAATAAACTTTAGTATACGTCCTTGCAGGCTTTTGTATAACATTGCAAATGCTGATTTGATGTCAACCTTATGACCAGTCTCAATCATATGTTTCGCAGTGGAGGATAATGTCTGTCTATCCTGTGATCTTATTCGACCATTGGAATCCATTTGTTTCTGCAACCATTGTGGTATGTGTTCACCCACCCTTAATTGCAAATCACGATTGCTCCACCATGTTACCAAATCCTTATATTAACTCTTCATGATTTAGTGAAATAAAATCAATGACTGTGTTAATTTATATTTAGTAATCACAATAGTTGAACTCATGAGTCAATTGAAGCTAGACCACCGTAGAAAACCTGGAAGCATTGGACGGTCGTTTCGTCCTTGTATGGGACTCCTCAGCAGTGCTCATCCACGATCCCGCCCCCACGAGATTCGAACCCGGAACGAAACGGCCGTGCAGTGCTTCCACGTTTTCCATGAGGTCTAGCTTCAATTGACTCATGATTTCAACTATTGAAATTACTGAAATCTCCACAAAACCCCTTATGATTCTTTCTAATTACTTTGAAATTGCTTAACTGTACGAAGAAATAAAAAATATATATGTATCTTTTTACACCTCAAGGCTCCAAAATGATCTTTCGGTCTTGAAATAGTTCACTGATTATAATATAAACTATTGACAATTGGATTAACCTAAAAATTCTTCATTTTAGCAAAACGATTTGATAGAATAATTAGTTACAAAACATTTTGATGTTACTTTGAATTATACTATTCAAAAGCTTCATTAGAACCACAGTGCGAATACAAAAAAATCTACATAGTGGAAATAAATATTTTCTAATAGTTTATTTTTCATAGTGGCTGATAAATATTTAATTACGTAAAGGTGGTACGAAAAAATCATTCTTTTAAACCGTGTAACTCTTAGAAAAGAGAGCAAAGTATGTATGCAAAACTCTGGATTACTTCCAAAATCAAGGAAATCAGTAGGTTTATTGCACTTAATCATGAATTGCTTGGAAGCAATGTTTATGTATTATATTATAATAGAGTGAGCAATGGAAAGTTTTAGTGTATGGTATTTGACAAGTATAGAGGATCGACTAAGTAATGAATCTTCGTCTATGGAAATATTTGAAACAGTTATTTTTTCTTAGTCTGAACACCACTTGATTTAGCGCTCAATGTTGGCTGGAGTCAGAGGTAGATTAGAAATCAGACTGGTGGACTAAACTGGGAAATGTGATCAGTCTTCGTATTTATTACCTATTATTTTGGTCCATATCACAAGATGTAACCTATTCATCTAGAGTTCATTCAGTTATCATGACTAGTGATTGGAAATATTTACAGGTCTATTCATTCTTTGTCTACTGATGGATTCTGATTTCCAAAAAAACAACATTTTAATATCGTTTTTTTCTCTCTTCTAGAATTATTATTCATTTTGGCTAATCTTGTTTTAGTATCAATAATGAATGATTCTACTAATTCGATATCCATCTTCATAATTTCATATTTCTATGTTTATATAGTGTGACAATTTTAACTGATATACATTTATTACCGAATTATGGGTTATTAGTTGACGTTGATATATTACAGTATTGTCTATAAAATTATGTTATTATTACATTTAGTCATGATTTACTATGTTAGATATATAGATTATGCATATAGTTTTATTAAATCATCTAAACTATATAAGTATTACACTGTAAATTTAGAAAAAAGAATATGACAGTTCGTGCTATATTTGTTGTGACTTTCAGTCCGTCTAGTTATCACATAATTTATTTGTCAATCGAAATCCGATTTATTCACTCATGTACTGTACTAACCAATAACGTTTGCCAGGTCTAATCTGCCCAGCGTCCTTATTGGTCCTTTGCTCCTCTAGCCCATCCAGTTGAGTCTAGAACATCAATAACAGCTTTCTCCACGCGAATCCTTTATTTCAAACATACTCAGTTTATATACCAGCCAAACAGACTACATCACACCATAAAATAAGAAATAATATTTATACACAATAAAGCCAAAAAGTGTCTATGAACGTGGGAGACAGTAATTAGTAAACTGGATATAACTTAAGAACAGTAAATCGTATGATAATAAATTATAAGTCAAAATGAAGCTTATAATAAGAGGAATATAAATATACACAATCTAGTTACTAAACATTTATACAATAGGAATACATATATAAAATTAGTCCATTAATAGATCTCAGAGGTTACTCATAATTTAATCATCACTAAAATATAATAATTTTTATGATTATTTTATTTTTTCTTCCTATTTAGGTTGTTACATTGGCTGCAATTTCAATATTAATTACTGCTCCAATAGGTGCTATTTTAATGCCACTTACTGCACCATATTTATTACGTCAAGATATTCAATCATCACAAGTATTAATAGAACGTACTAATCCTAAACATTCACCTAAATCAAATTCTGCTCAATCTACTGATATAATCAATAAAAAACTACATAAATCTAATCAAAACATTCATCATAGTAATAAATCATCTCAATTAAATACTGTACGTAATACAAAATTATAAATCAATTCAATAATATACATGATTATTTCATGTTTACATTTACCTCTTTTCTCTTTTTTTGTTTTTGTTTACGATTTAATAGATTTTCTTTTCTTTATTAAAAGAAAAGAAAAGAGAACAAAATAAACGACTTCATCCACAATTAGTTTTTACAATAATACCAAGTAGATATTAGTTAATGATATGAAAGAATAAAATAAAAAAAATACGTTTAATCTATTTCAAATAGTGTTTTCTTTTCTTTTTTCTTTCTTTTTCTTTCTTTTTCTTTTCTTTCTTTTTTTTTTGATTCATAAAATTTAAAACGTAGCGTTACAATTGATTTGTTTGAAACATACAAACAAACAAACAAACATATTACTCTATAGAATTCTTTTTCTCAGTTTTTATTGTACAGTTCCATCATATTTATTAATGTTCTCTTTCTCTCTCTATAGAAACATATCTTATTTAATTTTAATAATCATTTGATAAATTTATATCAGATTCATTCATTTATTCCTTCGTTATGTTCAGTTTAAATTTTGTTCATCGTTTGCATGTTAACATATAGAATATAGTATAGTCATGTAGTAATACAAAATTCATACATATATATATATATATTTATATCTATATCTTGATCAGTATTTGTGATTAAGTTATATGTCATGTATTGTACAGAAGTCTATTAAGTTAATCAGTTGTTAGAAAGATTATTATCAGAAGGGGGTTTTGTGGAGATTTTAGTAATTTTATAGTTGAATTCATAATTCATTTGAAGTTAGACCATCATGGAAATCTTGGAAGCACTAGACGACCGTATCGTCCTAGTATAGGAATCTTTAGCAGGGAACATCCAATGATTGCGTCTCACGAGATTTGAACCCAAGACAGTGGTAGTTCTAATAACTAGATCTACCTGATTCAGTTTAGTGAATTAGTTTGCATTCACTCTTTCAGAAACGTATTTTGATGATTTCTGTTCATAGGTCTTTTTCTATTATTATATAATAATATGAAGTACTTACATAATGAAATCTTAGTCGTTCGTAATCTTGTAAATTCGATTAACAAGTTTAATATCTCAGAAAATATTTTTACTGAGCACCTACTTAAATATAATTACATACTTACATACACGATTATGCATAGAATAAGAACGTTGGACTGTAAGATAAATTGGATAAGATACATTAGAAACTAATGATCTTTTCGTAAGCAATGATAGATAGTGGCTAGCAGTGAAATCCAGGATGCGCGTTTCGTCCTATTTAGGACTCGATTACAGTCTTAAAACTTGATGGGACGATACAAGCCAAACAATACCAAGTGAATTTAATGATCTTTTCATTCACAAATAATCATCATAGAACATGAAAAAGAAATGTTTATATTCAACTATATATTAAATTTTAAGTTGATAAAGTTTAAAATAACTTAGTTGAAATGAAGAATTATTTTAGTAGTGAACATTACCATTATTTTATGTATTGACGTTATTACTGTTGAAATTGGTTAGTAACATCTGTCTTTAGAGTACAATTGAAGCAATTAACTTTAACACTGAATTAAAGATAAATTAATTACCTTGTATGAAATCTTTTACTTGCTTATAATTCATAAACGTTAAGATAAATAATTCTGACAAACAAGTGATTAATTGATGCTTTCTACTTGTTAGTGATAACTTCATGGCAAGTGATTATGTAATACAATACTTATGTGTAAATAATAGTTTAAATCAAAACACAAAATGAATACTTTATCTGTTAGGAAATATACTTGAATGAATGATAACATATGGTTATTCATCGTATATAATGCTTATATAAGGAAATATGGTAGCTATCCAGATCAGTAGTTTCTACATCATTGATTAATCAGATATATTATGAAGTGAATCAATCAATTATGAAATGATATCAATCAGTGTAAAGAATATGATCTTTATTCACCAACAGAAAACATAAATTACAACATGATAAATTTGAACAAGCTTAAACTGATAACTATCATGTGCTCACTAGTGACTAGTTTACAAAAAGAATTCTTGGAATTTCAGTGTAAAGCCGTGACAAGTGAAGTTCAACTTTATCGGGTTTGAGGCAGTTACTCATCGAAGACAATGAAAGATATCCGTGCAACATCGTGAATTGGTTGAAATCAAACGTTAACACCGTTGGATCTCGGTTCAGTGTACTAGAGGTTTAGATTTCCGGTGCGTAGACCGAAAGTCTTAGGTTCGAATCCAGGATGCGGAGGCCTGGATATGCACTTCTGAGGAGTTCCATACTAGAGTGAAACGACTGTTCAGTCCTTTCAAGTTTTTAGTGGTAGTCTAACATTGATCGATACATTATCTCAATATAAACTCAACAATCTCCGCAGTCCTATACTGTCAATTAATGAGGCTGGGAAAGCACAAATTTTTTGAAGTAACAAATAAAGATAATTTTTAAGTTCTCACTATATTCATCTTGATCTGATTTTATAAAGCCTAGCAGTAAAGCTAATTCTAAAAATCAGTAAGTAAAGCATAGCAAACTAAGATGATTCTAACTGGTGAGTTTCAAGCACTTAAGATTCATGAACCAATAATAGAATGCTATGCTGAAATTCAGTAGTTGGACTGTTGTTCGAATAACTTTCACTAGATGTTAACTTTAAATGAAGTAAATCAAATCAAGTAACGATAGAGTTAATTGAATAACATGAAACAGAAACAAAAGAAAAACTTATTCTGGTACTATGAAGTAGGAAATGTAGTTATCAAAGTGAATCAAAATTAATCATTGACAGAATATATATGCACTACTACAATGTGAGACGCATATTTTTGTTATCATAGCTTACATTATAGAAATAAAATCTTGATGGCTAATCACGTGCTTACAAATGAGTTACTTCAAAAGGAATTCTTGAAATCTTAATAAGAATTCACAAATAATGGAGTTGTGCCATTTCAGAAGTAAGATAGCCATAAGAAGAGCCTAATAATAATCCGCTTTTTTCACAAGTTGTCCGTAATTTGTGATGTAAAGCTATATGTTCAAACTCATTGCTCTGGCCGTATTCCCCGGAAATCAAAATGTTCTTGGTTTGGCCATTCAAGAGTAGTATTGCATAACAAAATAATCATGGATGTCCAATGATGAGGGATTCCGTACTAGGACAAAATGGCCATTCAGTGTTTTAGGTTCTCCATGGTGGTTTAGCTTTAATCGACTCATGAATTCAAGTATTAAAAATTACTACAATATCCACAAATCCCCATTTTGATATATTTAGATGTTCGAATTCCCTAAGACTAAGATCTTATAATACGTTTCGCTATCGATTTAAAACTAGACTGACATTAATCTAGAATACACTTTAGTGTATAAAATATTTGAAACAGAGAAAAACGAATTTCTTTAAAACACTTAAACAAAGTGGTGTGAAATCAATCACAGAAACTCTGTCTTTTAATAAAATGGATTTTCCCGCTCATCGATTAATTGAATTATTCACTTGGAAACTCCGACTTACGTGGTATTTATTTGTGGAAAAACCTACCAAGCAGTTACATCTTTTAATTATAATGACTAGAAGTTATTTTAAGTGTTTATAATAAACTATAAACTATAACATATGTTTGCAAATATTATCCTATAAACAAATTGTTTTAAAGTTTTTTATAATCGATTATACTAATGCTTATTGTAAGAAAAGATAGATGGTGGTTAGCAACGGCATCCAGGACGCACGTTTCGTCCCGTTTGGGACTCGTCAGCTAGAGTCCCGGAGTGAAAACCGACTCTGTGAAGCAGTTACATCAAACTCATATACTAGATTCCATTGCTAGCCAACACTCATCTTTACTTACAAATCGTTAATTTCCCTCTGATAGATAACTTCATCAAGTTGCACGAATAACATTCAATCATGTACATCTCAATTAGTTTCATGATTACCATCTGATTTTTAACTGCTTAATTATTTCTGTTTTAAACAAAAGTGAGAGTGTTATTATTAATTCCTGTTTTATTATCTATAAGGGTGTATAAGTGTTTTTTCTATGTCTCTCAATAACTGAATATGAACAAGGTTTTGATTTGCAGCTACTTGAAAACATTATCATCAACATGTCCTAATATTAGAATAGTCAGATCTCTTCTTAGTTTTAGTATATTTGAAGAAGCTTGAGAATCAGTTGTTTAGGATTAAATTATTGTCTTATCTAAGTTTTGTATGTCAATATACATATAGATATACACATCAATATCATTTATGGAAAAATGGGAATGAAGTGGTACTGGGTTCGAGTGTTGGAGTGAATATCAACACTGAGATGCAGTTACATCCATCTGATGAATCCCAAATAGAACGGAATGCGTGTTCTGGATTGCACTGCTATCCACTCTCCATCTTTGCTTACGATGCTTATGATTTAAGGCAATATTGATGCATTCCGTACAGGATGCTCATATGCCTATAGGAAATGGAAAGATTCAAACAAACAATCGAAAAATGAATAATAGCTATTATTATCATTATTATAATCGTCATTGTAAGTGTTAAAATTTTTTAAATCCTAGTCAATAAACATTCCTTGCGTATAATATGAACAGTAACAAAATACATACGATGATCAGATTATTAAGTGTGACATTATAATAATTTTACTTATATGACTTTATCTTGATCTACTTCAAGTTTATAATCCAATATAATGCCTGTGTATCGTTAACTAAATTTATCTAGGGAGAGTGGAAGTTTTTCTAATTACTTTCAAACATAAGTGAACTTATCAGAAGGGGTTTGTGGAGATTTTAGAAATTTTCACAGATTGAAATCATGAGTCAGTTGAAGCTAGACCACCACTGAAAAACCGAGGGCACTGGACGGCCGTTTCGTCGTAGTATGTGACTCCTCAGCAGTGCCCATCCACGATCCCGCGGGGTGCGGGATCTTGTTTGTTTTAAAGTTTTCTTTTTAACTAAATTCTATTAGTATCAGAAAAAGTTTTTATAGATATCATAATAATTTCAATGGTTGAGATCTTGATTGAATTGAAGCTAGACCACCGTGGGAAACCTGGGAGTGAATTAGTGGTACATACCTATTTGTTTATTAGAAAAAAAATATATATATAACATTGTGATGTACGTATAGATAAAGTAAATTTGTTTCATGAGTGATAACATTCAAATTGTCTTATCTGCATTTAAATAATCTTACATTATCATAAATATGATGTTAGAAGCTTAATAAAAGATCATGGATCTTCATTAATTTATTACTGAATAGTTTTACTGAGACTGGAATAATAACGTGATTCATTGAGTCATTATTTTCATATATTGTAAGCTTGAGATGTTGAATTCCATCCACTCGAGTTTCAAATCTAGGTTTTTGAATGTTTCGCCAACGTTTGATATTATTTGTAAAACTTTAACAACCTCCGCAAACTTCTGAATAGTAATTATAATCATTTCCTCATTGGTGGCTAGTTAAGAGAGGTAACTACTTAATTTTCAATGAGAAAAGGTGATTAAAGAAATTCAACCATCCTAATTACTCATAAATGACGTTTGAGAATGATTGCTCAATATTTTAAATTTATCGAAGTTAAAAGTACACTCCAAAGGATGGT